CCAGGCCAAAGAGTGACACTAGAGGCCACTCCATGCTGGCTACAGAAGCCTCAAAACTACAGTAACTGGTGCTTAAAGTGGTCTGAAAAAGGTGTGTAGGTATGTGGGGGTGACAGACAGGGAATCTCTCAACCTCAGAGCAGAAGCTTTAGTAAGACAATGCTTAAAGTCCACCCCTCAGCAGGGTCTTTGGCCCATTGCAAGCCCTCCCCTTCCCCCACTTTAAGCACTGTGTAATAGGTTGGCCACCACCAAAGCATCCCATGGGTGCCTTTGCAGTGCTTTGCACCTGATTCTTCAGGGCTCCTGAGACTATGTGGGATTTGTTTTTCTCCTTCAATCACAGCCCGTTGGGGGGGGTCTGGTTTTCTTTATTTACAAAGCTCAAAAAAGCAAATGCAAACAAAAAAGGCATTTTCCTAATCACTCACACAGTCCCCAAGAATCCACAGTCTCCCTCCCCAACTGCTTCAGGTCTTGTAAGGAACCAGCTGCCAGAGGCTCCTTTCCTGCACCAGGTGTCTCTAGTTGGCTCATTTAGCAAGCCTGCTCTAGTTCTTCAAGTCAGGCAGGCTCCCTCACTCCCTTTGCTCTCACATACCCCTCACCACTCTGAGTGGCCTGTCAGAGTACTCACCACCTGGCTCACCATCTTTGTCTGTCCTGGACAGAAGGTCTGAAGTCTGGTGGCTCTTGCTGGGACAACGCTGTCCAGGAAAATAAAAGGGCACGGTACCAATGGGTAACCCAGGCATTTGAATCTCACATCGTCTGGAGCCATCAGAGCACCGCCTGGTCAGTGACAAGGAAAAAGGGAGTCCAACACAGATAGCAGTGCCGGGCTTCACTGCCCAGCATTCCTTCTCGAGGACCAATACCACGTTTCACAGTCCAGGAGTTTCCTACTCCTACAGGATAGGATGTTCTTGAGTGTGAAACTTCTAGGACAGTACTGCTCCCAGGACCCAGTGTGGTTCTATCTAGATGGGAACCTGGAAGGGTCTTAAGGCATTTCTTGCTGGCAGGTTTGAGGTCTTACCCTACCTGCCAAAGTGACACCCTAGATAGTCACACTCCATCATGGGACACTCTCACTGCCTATGTTCCAGCTGCCTACAGCAATGACATATGATCGGCCCCTCTTGAATGGTCAACAAAGGCCTGCTTGGATCCTGGGGTCTCAAAGCGCCTCTGACTGGAGATCTCCAGGAAGGTAGAGGCTCTGTCCCTTGAGGGGGGCCCAATACCAAGGGCACCTCCTCATTCCTGGGGTGCCGAAACCTGGAGCAATGCAAACAACCCTTGCGTTATTGCAGGGTGGGGAGAGGGTTAAGGGGTATGATCCTAACACCTGAAGCTTCCGCCTCTAGAAACCGCTCTGTCGTTTCTACAGCCTCTGCGATGGTTAATGGGGCAGAACTGACAAACCCTAAGCTCGTACTGCTATGGGGAGAATTTTTAAATGCCATTCCAAAACAATGCTATCTATCAGGTCACCCATGGGGTCAGCCAGTGAGTGGCCAAGTTGCGGAGCCGCTGGATGACAGCCCCTTTTTAGAAATGGTTCCTCATGAAACTTCCTATCATAGATTTTTGGAATGAGTCCAAGCTAATCCAATATGGCCACCTTCAGGGTAGAGTAAGATTGGGCTTCATCTGTACGCAGGGCCCTGCAAGCAGCTTAGGCCTCCCCAGGGTGATCAGATGATGGGAAGGTGAGGTGGGCAGGCGAGCGGGGTGAGGAGTGAATGAGGAGGTGAGCAGCAGGTGGGCAGGCAGGGGCAAGGAGGAACTCCCCCTACCAGAACCTCCCGCCTGTCGGCAGGCCCCACTGATCAGCACCTCCCCCTCCCTCTCAGCCGCCAACTGCAGATCAGATGTTTTGTGATGTTAGGAGGTGCTGGGGGAGAGGGCAGAGGAGTGAGGGCGCAGGGTGCTCGAGAGAGGGGGTGGAACTGGGCGTGGGAGTGGGAAAGGGTTGGAGTGGGGCTGGGGTCTTGGCGGAGCCAGAGGGGGAAGCAGCCCCCGGCAGATTAGAAACTCGGCCCCTATGTCCCGGGCCCCGCATCCCTGTAGGGACAGTCCTGGCCAGAAGTAAGCCTGCGCCTCACCCACCAGCTTAGAGTTCTCTCCTGCACCCCAAGCCCCTCATCCCCAGAGCCCACACCCCCAGAGCCCACACCCCCAGACAGAGCCTTCATCTCCCTGCACCCCAACCCCTGCCTCAAGCCACAGCTTCCTCCCACATCCTCAACCCCTCATTTCTGGCCCCACCCCAGAGCCCACAACCCCAGTTAGAGCCCTCACCCCCTCATGCACCTCAACCCCCTGCCCCAACCCAGTGAAAGTGAGTGAGGGTGGGGGAGAGCATTGAGCAAGCCACCGAGGGAGGGGGAAATGTAGTGAGCGGGGGGCAGGGCCGCGGGGCAGGGGCATGGCCACGGGGGGATGGGAGGGGCTAGGGTCTTTGGTTTTGTGCGATTAGAAAGTTGGCAACCCTAGCCTCCCCATGTTGCTAAAAGGGTGAGCGGAGAGGCTTCTCTCCCAGGCCGTGGTGGCTGCCACCCACTCAGATGTCAGGAAGGCTCCTGGGTCAGTAGAGGTAGGTTGGTTAGGGTGGGTCCTGGGAGAGCCTCAGCAAGGAACACCCTTGTAGGAGCACCCAGCTAACCTAGCACAAGCAGTCCGGCCACCTTGGCCTGGAACTGCCAATTCTGTTCCTGTTCAGCCAGTTAGGCCTCCTGTGTGTGCTGCTGGGTGGCTAGTAAGACCTGGAGCAGATGATTTTGCTCCTTCTCTGCCTGTTGCTGCTGTATCATTAATCACAAGACTTCCTCCATGGACCCTCTTGGAGAAGGGGATGCTAAAAGTTCCTGCTCAGGTGCCAGGTGTATTGGGGTGGCCACCACCTGAGTGCCCCCTCATGGCCAGAGGAGCCTTTGCAGTGCCCCACCTCTGTTTTCTTCTTCTTCAGGGCTCCTTAAACAAACCCCACACAGTCTTTCTCCTTTCAATCACAGGCCTTCTTGGGAGTCTGGTTTTCTTTATTCACAAAGCTCCAAAAAAACAACCCAACAAAAAAAAAAAATCTCCAATAATTTACAGAGTCCCCAGAAATCTGTCCTAATCTGTATCCGGCACTAGCTGCCCTGCTCAAGTGGACTCCCTTGGACATTCTCCCAGTCAGTCCCTTTCCCTGCAGAATTCCTTCAACTCTTTTGTCACGAATGAGCTCCTAGAGCAGTGGTCTCCAAACTTTGAGGGTTGTGCCCCCCTTGCCCCATCCAGTGCCCCACTCTGGAGCCAGGGCGGACAGGGGTAAGGGTCCCAAAGCTTGGGCTGGGGCTAGGGATGTTTCTCAGCACCCTGTAGGGGGGCATGCCCCACAGTTTGGGGACCACAATCCTAAGGGTTTCTTCCCTGCACCAGGCGTCTCCGGTTGGCTCATTTAGTAAGCGTGCTCCCGGCTTCAAATCTCCTGCAGACAGCTCCTTCACTCCCGGTTTTCTCTTACGTGCTCACAGTATCTTTGATAGGAGCTGTTCCCTGTCTGCCCTTCCCTGACTTATGTGGAGGAGGGGGAATTAGGCTGGTGGAGATTTACAGTTGTGTAGAAGTGACACTGGATAGATTTAGAGCAGGTTATCAGAGGCTTGCACTTCCTATTTTAAGACAGGTGAAACAATAATGAAGTTAGCTAATCAAAGTAATTTAAATCCTGAGCAAATGATTAAGTATTTACAATGGTCCAGGTATACTTAATCCTACCTCAGTGCAGGGGAGATGGACTAGAATACCAGATGACCTCTCAAGGTGCATTCTAGTCCTACATTTCTGTGAATTCTCAAACCTTTATTTAGCAAGGTATGTAAGCATGAGCGAACTCATTGAAACCAAAGGGCTGAGTCCAGCCTGCAGGATGTGACCTATGGAGTTTAGACAATGTGCTACAGTTTTCCAAATTTGGTGTGTCCATTTTCTTCCTTTAGCCTGATGATCTCTCGCCTCTCCCCTAAAAGATGTAAACTATTGTAATAATTTTCAAAAGTTATTCAACAATATAACTTTTTATTTAAAAAATAAATTCTCCTGTACAGAGTTTATAAAACTTCTTGTTTCCTTTGTTTACATGCTTAGTTCAGAGATTCAGTTAATAGGATTCTGGAAGGAGTTTAAGTTAAATATAATTGATTTTGTGAAATTTTTGTTTTTATTAGATTTCACTTAGAAAAGCTATGCATGACAATTCTGTGGTTACTGCAAATATAGAAGTGAATCCTATCCTGTACTACTGTATAATGACACTAACAGGCACAAGTCCAATTTGTCTTTCACTGTCCGCTGCCCTGATACACACATTTTCTTGGTCACTTCACCAGAGCAGGACAAGACTTTGCTCATTACTAATTACTTCCCAATTCTGATGTATGGAATGATCTTATTAATCGATTACCTGAGCTCATGAGGATTCTTGATTTCTTTTCTAGAATTACCTCTTCAATAAGCCTTTGGATCAGGCTCATACTGTCAGTGGAAAGATTCTGTTCACTTCAGGGGGCTTTGGGTCAGACCCCCTATGCTTATTTCGTGAGGTTGGAATTGGTTTAGAGATGTGGCAAATTTGTGCAATCCCTAAACAATTCTAACTCATTAAAGTCAAAACACAAAGCACAGACAGAGAGAGACTGATCCTGATTCCTGTTTACCTTAAGGTTACATTGCACCACTCTGGCAGCATAAATGGGACTTAGAGGGGTGTAAATGAACTTTGGTAGAAAGCTATTAAAAATGTAACTCACTCCCACTTTCAGATTTCTTGATGCTGCCAGAGTAGTGCAAAGCTAACCTTAGTGTAAATGAGAATCAAGCCCTTTCTTCAGAGAAACCTTTTTAGTCAGCGGGTGTTCTCCCATGTTGCTTGTTTGTCTTCAGGAATCATATTGCTGGAAAACTCATTAGCTCAAGACAGTTAAAATAAACAAACAGAAAAATCCACATACCAATTTGCTTCTGTTGGAAGAAAATACCTCTGTGATGGATGTAACCTCCACAGCTGAATGAAGACTGAAGTGCAGAGTTCAGACTGACTTCCCTAAAATGGAATAACAGTGTTTAGCAAGAGGAAATTGGAAAACATTTCCAGACTTCTGGACTTGTTTAGAAATATTGGCTGTCTTTATAAACCCAGCATCCCACCAAAAATAAATTCTAGCCATATGAATGAATCACTTTAGGTCACTGTCTGCAGGGAAGCAGAGGGAGTTGTTGTTGAATGGAAATAGTTGCATGTGTAGCATTCATAAGGGAATGTTAAGTAACACATGCTGTTTTCTGATATGCAATGGACGGATTGCACAGTATGTCTTTGGTGTGCATTTTGGTTCATAGAAAATAATTTTAAATGAGCAGAAAAGCACTACAATGAGGTTAAATCATACATTCTAGTTATTTACTGAAAATAGGTTTTTTTCTTTGTGTCTGAGATGCATGAAGCCAACAGATACCACAGGTCAAATCCTCAACTGGTAGGCAGCATGTTCTGGTAGATAGACCACCAGGAGGGGACTCAAGTGAGCTGGGTTCTTTTCCTGACTCTGTCACTGGCCTGCTGGGTGACTTTGGGCAAATCACTTCACCTCCCTGTGGCTTAGTTTCCCCATCTGTAAAATAGGCAAAATTATACTGAGCTTCTTTGTAAAGCACTTTAAGATCTATTGGTGAAAAGTGCTGGGTTTTATAAGAGCTAGATGGCATAATTAAAAGTCAGTGTGCAATCCCACTTGACACCAGCTGAGGACCAGGCCTCCTATTGTTACACAAAAACACCCAAACACAACTCACCAGTAGACGCTTCCTGTTAATATTAGCATTAATACTGGGACACATCTTGAAGCCCTTTTTTATTTCTTAATCTCTCCTTACTCAGGCAAAACTCCCACGGGGTAATGGGAATTCTACTTGAGAAAGAAACGAATAAGAAATAAGGACTTCAGGATTTGGCTCCTTTAGTTGCACCCTCTGTGTCATTGAAACATTTCCTCCTTTCTCTGTGAAGTCAACGATAGATGTGCCTTGTAGATGTGCCTCCTTTAATAGGCGTTCTTTTATTCTGGAAGTGTTTGAATGGGAAAATATAGGTCTAGTTGTGTAGCAGATCTCTTCAGTATTCTGCTTGGAGTGGCACATAGCATGTCTGTGGGGTACAATGCCAAATTTGGTTATTGTAAGGCATATAGTTCAAGGGCCAGATTCTTGGTCCTGCTCCAATTCCCTCTGTGCTGCTTCAGCAGTGCAACTGGGGACTTAAAGCTGCCTTAATCAGACAACTGAAGATTCTCCCAGTATAAGGGAAACCTTGGCTGGTGTAAAGCCAGTGTTGTCAGGGTAGGAAACATTCTGGGGTATGTCAGAGTGCAATACTGTTTCAGTCAGCATAAGTTAGAGCAGCCCTGTGACTGCTCTAGTCAAGGTAGATAAAATCAGATTTTAAAAAATATATTTAAATTGGAGTTTTTAAAAAATCTATTTAAAATTAATTTTGGAATAGATAACCTATGCTAAGGCCTAAACTAATAATCTATTAACATCATTTAAATTAAAATTTAAAAATATTAAACGGTACTTGTTTTCAGCCAAGTTTCAAAATTAAACCACTGAACTGGTGGAAGTTGCTGGCTAAGCACCTGGAATCAGAGTTTACTAAACCAGTTTTTGACAGCTGAAACCTCTTCTGTAGGTGCAGAGAGCATATTTTCTTCATTTCAATTTATTCAGCTAGTTCAGTTCAGTGACTAGTTCATTCAGAGTTAAGAAACTGCCTGGGAGTTGGAAGTACTGGAAAGCTTGTTTTCTCTTCCAATCTTTGAATAAAAACTAGATGTGAATGGATGAGATCTACTAGTTCTAAAATCTTGACAAGGTGACCAGAAACAATCAGTTCAATTCACTAACTACAGATACTATTTCCTTTGTTTAATGTATCAGTTAGTTTTAAATGCAAAACATGATTTCATAAACTTTTTCTCTTATGTATTCAGCACAGTTAAAGTAGTTTTGTTTAATAAAAAATTAAATGCTGTTTTTATGTGTTGTAATTTAATTTGAATTTTCATTAAAATAGAGCTTGATACAAATTGTAAGTAAATTAATCACCATCTAGTAAATATGAAATATATTATCCACCATTTCCTAACATAATAAAAAAGGTAAAAACTAAGAATCTGAATAAATCTATGTTAAGCTCTATAATTGCTTAAATAAATGTATATAGATACACTATATCTTCCTGCTTAGCAAAAAGAAGCACCAAATTTAGTATAAAGGCTATATTTAGTTGCCAGTCAACATGTATTAATGGTTACCAACCAACCAACGAGAATTAACCTTTCTTTAGGAAAATAACTACAAAGTATAAATGCAAAACACAATTAAATTTGATTATTTTAGTTCAAGGTTTCCTGCTTGTTAGTTTAAATTACGATTTTAAATCAAAGATTTAAATCACTGATTTTGAATCGATCCACCATGGCTTTAATATGTACCTGGAGTGTACATGGATTTGGCCCCCATCTACCTCCAAGATCAAAGGAGGAGTAAAGGTGGTTTACAGTCATTTTCCCAACCACTGTATTGAGCGGGTGCACAATACAGTTAAGGATCCAGCCTGTAGTTAAGAGTATACAAACATTAAAAGAAAAGAGGATTTTTTTTAAAAAATAATGATCCAATATACTCAGATTTTCCATCATATCACTTGAAATCAAAGGGATATTTGCCCGTACTTAGAACTCACTGCCATGCAATAGCCAGATTTGGCACAGTATATCCAAACACATAGGATGTGTCCTCATTTGACACCTTGGAAGCAAAATAATCAGTGTGTGTGAGGACAGAATTTGGCCCTGTTTCTGGCAGAGTACAATCATTTTATTCACAGTCTGGGGTTTCTTGGGATCCATTTAGAGGTAAACAAGCATCTTAACCGTCTATAACTTCCATTGACTTCAGCTGAAATCTCAAGAGCCCAGTGAGTATAGGACTGGGCCCCAAGGCTTTACTTGCGTTTTATTTCCTTTCTGTATCCAGACCTAGTGAGAAAGGCATAGTGAATCTGCACTATTTGGGCATTTCATTATGGTTTCATGCAACTCATTAACTGCTGCTAGCATTCCTACAGTGTGACTATTAGATAATGTTCGCAAAAAGAAAAGGAGTACTTGTGGCACCTTAGAGACTAACCAATTTATTTGAGCATGAGCTTTCGTGAGCTACAGCTCACTTCATCAGATGTTTACCGTGGAAACTGCAGCAGACTTTATATACACACAGAGAATATGAAACAATACCTCCTCCCACCCCACTGTCCTGCTGGTTATAACAATAATAATAATAATAATAATAATAAAAATAATAATGTTATAACAGTTTAAAACAAAGTTAATGAAAAGCCCCGTTCTTCATTTGCTTTCTTGTCCTCTCCTGTTATTGCTGGGAAGTTCTTTTACTTTGCCATGTCGTTTGTGTTTCTTTGGTAAAGCAGGATCAGTTAATGAGGCTTTGGGGCTTTTATTGTACATAATAGTAAGAGTGGCATTATGCCAGGACTATTTTGATCAATTAAATGCATTCATGAGCAACACAACTCATGGAAATTTTTTGGAAGGGAGAGAAATACTTTGGGTTCTATGTGATGAGGAAAAGACAAAGGGGATTATTTTCATGCAAATTACAGATCCTGGGCTGTTCCATAGTGAATAAGATGGTTATATTGAAAGGCAAATGAGTTATAATGGCACCATCAATGCTTTGGTTTAAAAAAAAATTCATTTTATTTATTACACATTTCAAAATAAAATGCAGCACAGAAGACATATGGGAGCTAAGATGCACAGAGAAACAACCCTTCTGAAGGAGATACTTAATGAGTGTCAGCCAAAGTACAGATTATAATTGAGAAGTCGGGTAAAATGGTTACTCATCAGGAACACGAACTATTCTCAGGTAGTCCTAACAATTTTTTCCCATTGTGGGGGTTACTGATTTTAGGGAAATGCTGATTCTTATTTGCAAAAACTCATATAATATTTTCTAAATTAAAGCACACCAACTGCCAAATTCAATGGAGATTAAATCAATTCATTTGTACCAGGAATGGATTTGGTCCAATGAATTTAAATCTAAACTCTTATCTTTATGAACTGAATCCTTTTAAAAATTTGCTTCATTTTTGCAGGGCTAATTTTAGCCATGCAAGACAATAAAACAAATTATTTTTAAAATCTCTATGCTGCTTTATGACTCCTGCAATGTCTGTTCTACTGTCCTAAGAATTTGGATGTTGGTTCTTGACTGATATCCACCCTGGAAAGGTAGACTTTAACTATCTGATAACCTGGAATAGGATAATATCCTCTTTCTGAGAAATGAAGCAAATTACTACTTCAGGTCAGCTCTCTGAATAAAGCAGACATATTTACTAGTGCTTAACTGTTCTTTATATGCCCTACTCGGCAACTATCTGAGTGACACCATCTTTGGCATGGTCCAATGACACGTTTAATCTAAAACATCTGCTTAATGGAATGTTAAGGGTCATTTAGGCAGGTCCACTCCCTTCCACCCACGTCAGTATTAGAATTATGGGTGTTTTTAAATCTAATATGTTGGAGAAGCTACAATTAACTCTCTAGATGATGTAAGTTGACTTTTCAGATCAAACACACACACTTATAAATAAAGTACTCTCTCTCTCTATATATATATATATGCCCTCTGATATGGTTTGGTGGGATTTTTCAAAGCAGTCTAGAGTTTTAGCCTCATGTTTGTACAGCCCCTAACATAATGGGGTCCATGACTAGGGCTTTGTTGTAATAATGGGGATCTAACATGCCTACCCCAATTGCGAGCTCAACTGTGGGAAAGTAGATAAAAGTTTATAAAATTTTCCAGTCACCTATAACACGATGGGGAGAAAATACAAAAGGAAGATGAACAGACTGAATTAGTCCAACAGAGTCCTTGAGTTATAGTAGTAGGCCTTCTTGTTTGAAATTATACGTGTCAACAACAGAAGTGTGAGACCTGAAATCA